CTATTACCTACTTATTAGCTTCAGATCCCACAATGGATTGTACAGCATATTGGCAAATATGCATTTCAGGGGACCAGATCTGATATATACATGCAGCTCATATTAACATAAATGAGAAGCGTACACAGCATATCTCATTCAAACATCTTGTATGTAATGCAGATAAATGAAAGACAGTTTACTCCATATTCATAAAGGTATTGGACAGAAATATGCACTCTCATGCCTGGACACGTGGGAAGAAAAGTTCCGGATTCTTTCCATTTCATTCCTATTTCAAAGACATACAAATCCAAAAATCCATACAAAGCTAAAAGCACAAGAAATAACTAGAGACTTTGGGGGCAGGGTATCTCATTATTTCTGAGACAAGTTTTTGATTTTGCCAGAAACATAAATCATGACTGTTAAAACACTTAGCTGATCTGTACAACTCTGCAAAGAAAAATATTATTTCAAGAAAATGAATTTTATAATATTTCATCTTAACCTGTTACCCTTTGTATTTCAAAGAAAAATGTCAGAGCTTCTTAAGCTTTTAATGTCCATCATTCTCTGTTTGGTCATGTCTAATATCTTAAGCATGGTACTATTGAAGTCAACTGTACGACTCATAAATTTTGTATATCTAATTATATGTAATGCTGTGTAATGCTTAAAAACTGTTATGTAGGTTTAACTGACAAACCTAAAGACAGCATTCATCTCTAAGAAAACAGAGAGAATGACAGGATTGTTTAAAATTGTTTCATAACAATCATCAAAAAGGAGAGGGGAGAGTATTTTTCCTGTAAATGAATTTTGTCAGTCTAGTCTGTGGACTATTGTTTGTTAATTTTGTAAAAATGCTTAAGAAATTAGAATAGATTTTGAAACTAAGATCCAGCCAAACTTCTCTGGTGTAATACTCAGATATAGTAAACAATTACATTACATAAACCAACCATCTGAGCAGAAATGATAATTAAAGTAATGCACCGGTGTGCTTCATTGATTTATGAATTTGTTTAATGATTCCTGTTAGAACAGCAGAAGCCATTACGCATTCACTGATTTTAAGAGACACTATATAGTTGTGTGACCTTTCACTAAACAAGAAAGCTAATATTCCTGAGTTATCAAAGAGAGAATAAAAGAAGTATTATTGTGAGAAAGTTTACAACAATTTGAAGATAACATTCCAAACCCATTAATTTTTCTCTTGAACAAAGTTTTTACTGTTTTTCAGACTACCATTCAGAAATGACTTCAGGAATTTGCCTAGTCAGTGCTTGCACGACACATTTTGCATAGCAAGCATGTGGGGTTCCTGTCTGAAACAAATAAAAGATAGGATGAATTTATTTGAATTTGATTCAACTTCAGCCCAAACAAGTAGCCCAAGTCCTTGCCTGAATCCCTACTGAATTACTCCTGCTCACTGGCATTTGGAGTGCCCATCCAAAATGAGAGCTCTGCTGTGGGAATTGGGGTTAACACATACAGTGAAATACAATCTCTGACCCAACGCACTTATGATGTAGGCAGACAGTTGGGGAAAATCCAAGCATACAAATAATAACTTCCTGCTGAAATCCAGGGAGATTTTACCCTCTGTTTCAAGCTAATTCTTAGTGATACCGAAAATCTCACCCACAAAGAATAAGCAAATATATTATCTTGCTTTTATGGAGATGGGAAGCTTAAATAGCAAAAGATGAAATACATTATCCAGCTCTTTGCAGGAAGTCTGTGGTAAAATTTATGAGTCTTGCAAGCAAGGTCATAGATTTTTGCAACAGGTCAAAGTACCTATATCCCTGTCCTGGACATATATATCCTGTGCCCCCAACTGTTTGGTGAAGAGGGTTTTTTCCCACATGTAACACGCATCCATTAGTCCTGGTGAAATCTACACCAAGCACTGAAGTAAACAGTATCAAATACCTTCAAACCTTGACACAGCAGGAGGTATCCTGAAAGTAAGGAAGGAGGAGTCTTTTAAATTAGCTGTTGTAAAACAAATGAATGGGTCCAGAGGGTGCATTTGACATTTATCTGTGTATTTCCTTGCTTTTGTTTTTTTCTGTCATTGTCCTATCATTCTATTCCCCTTGATTTTGTGTAAACTTCCTTGTTTGTTTGCTTTTCTGATAACTTGTAGAGTAAACTGCTTGCTCACAAGAGCAAATGCAACTGGGGGAAAAGGCAGCAGGAAGGGGGATGTTTCTAGTTGGAATACTTTCAACAYGGCATCATAGTTGTTTGTGACTTTGAGCACTGTGAAACATTAGTTTGTCTTCCTTTCTTTCCTTCATTTTCACATTTCTCTCAAATCTCCCAAGCAGCTGATAGAAAGAATCTCCTATAACACTAAACACATTTCCTTATTTACTGTTAGATCTACATTTTCACACTTAACAGAGATTGCAAATGTCAATATATCTTTTTAATTGAATGTGGAACTTGTCACATCAGGTTATAAGTCTCTTGGAAGTACCAGCGCACATTTTGGGCTGAGTTGACACTTCAAAGTGAGAGAACAAGAATGGAAAATTCTTTCAATTGCAATGAAAACATTCCTTCAGGTTTCAGTCCAAGGTTATGCCTTTTCTCTGTTTATTTTGTTTGCCAAAATCCATAAATGGCTTTCAGAATGACAATGTGATGATCTAGAGACCAGTTCTTCATCTTTTCTTATCTTTTTATTATTTTAGCAGCTCAGTTGGCTCAGGCAATGGACTGTTTTGTATGATTACTGAAATCAGAGAGCCACTCTGAACTTCAGAGAGGAATAATCTGTCAGTTCCTAAAGGTGGACTTTGATTTGTCCTATTGGTAGCTTTTTATCATCAGCTGAAGACATTGCCATTCACATTTAGTAGATAAGGAACAGTAAAGTGTATAGGTGCAAGCATGGGATGGTCCTAATACAATTGTCTTGAATCTTTTAATTTCAGTTTGTAACAGATATTTAATTGTCTTCCTATTAGTGCTCCTTAGTTTAATTATTACTAAACAAAAATATTAAAACAGAATAAGCAGGTATAATGGATATTTGATGCACTCTCAAGTATGGATACACAATAAGCATCATCCTTCCCACCCTTTGAAATACTGATAATGAAAAAGGACTGTGCTACTGTAAACTGTTAAAGTATTTAAAAGATGTGCAATGGAGGTAGAAGAATGTCTGAAACTAGAGGAAGAAGTGGGAGAAGAAACAAATAAGACAATTCCTTTACTACAAAAGTGTCTAAAATATTCTCTTCACAGTGACGGGAGGAAACCTTCCSTGCTCCGCAAAATTTCCTGCAGCTCTTTGGTTATGGTCCCAGCCTTAACAGCAAGAGCCTCACAGTAGCAGAAGTCTTTTACACTCACAGCAGATGTAGTGCAAGGGAAGTTCAGGAATGCTATGTTCGGTTTGGGTACTATCTGGTATTGTAGATATGCAGATCCAGAATATTAATACAGGATTCAAAATATTGCCCATCAATTGTTTCGATGTGAACTCAAGCTATAGTCAGTAGAAGTTACACATAGCTCATTGCTTGTCTTTAGACCACTCTCAGGTCTTATCTTGCTCTTACTCATAAGACTCCTACTCATGCTTATCTCTACGCACTGTGAGAAGTSTGACTGAAGGTAGGAAGGATTACTATTTTACTGCATATCAAGTTAATAACTTTCGTAACTTCTTGATGGATCACTAAGCAAGCAGATAAGTTTATCACCATTACTGGCAGTAATTGGCAAACTCAGCAATGCTGGTAGAGACCACAGTAAGACAARGATGCTCTTAAATCTAGCAATAAAATCTGACTGAGATTTAGCTTTGGAGAACAGTTTGGAAGCAACGTTTTGAGTGAAAGCAGAGTATCAGTGTGAGTCTGAAACTTATTCAAGCTGTCAATCTAGATGACTTGTGTTGGTTAGCATGCCTAGTTTTATTGCTATTGCTTGTTTGCATGTTTATCACAATGTAGGCCTACATTTACAAGCACACGCATACCTCATTGTATGTTTGACTCTTGTGAGCAATTTCCCAYGATCAAATGTAATTTAATTGCACATCCCAATTAGTTTGTGCCATACAAAAGCTTGAGCCATTGACAGCTGAAGTTGCTTTATGCTTGTCTCCTTGCAAGCTTCCTCAGCTCTGCCCTTGTTCCCTTTAGGTAGTGGTTGCTTCTGTGCTGCTCTCCAAAACAGACTGCGGTGCTGGCAAGCTGCTTAGATACCAAAAAAAAAAAAAAAAAAAAAAAAAAAAAAAATCACCTAAGTAGGTTTGTTGCAGCAGTAAAAACAACTTAATTTTAAGGTCTGACATTTTACAAGCCAGCAGCCTTATGTAATCAGGAACAACACGACCTGCTTCCCAGATAGCAACTGCTCTTAGATGTCCGGAGCAGTAAATGAAAAGAAAGTTTAGTGAATATGATGTAAAATATTAAGTCAAGGAGCAGTGAACCAAAACAGAAAAAAAAAAAAAGTCTCCTGCTAAATAGCAAAATTGTGCATACTGATGAAGGGAAGAGATTTGGGAGATTACTGTGGAAGAAATGTTGATGTCTTCCACTGTGTGCCTGCATTAGAAAAGAGAAATATGAAGGATAAACTGACCCTAGAGAGGAGGATGCAAAATAACACAGAGAACCAAGCTGTATTAACCACAATCCAGTTTAGTATAAATTTGTCAGGGAGCGCAAAAGGCTTTAAGGTAAGATTACGACGTTAGGCAAGGTGCATTTCATAAGCAGCATCTGCCAGGAGTAGCGGCGGAGAGCATGTTGCACTAGAAATCCTGCTGAAAACAACTCCTCCTTCCCTAGTCTCCACTTGGAGAAGCTGGAGGGTGAGGAAGAACAAGAACTGAGGAAAAAATAGATGGTGATGAGGAGACATGAGGAGTAATGAGGGGTAATGAGAAGTAATGAGGGGCAGCTGTGGTTTAGGCGTGGGCCTGGAGCCTATATCCTGTCCCCTACAGCAGCTCATGGTGCCTGCTTGTGGTCTTCTCTGTGTGCAGACTTGTGTGTAGGTCATCTCTGTGGCAAGTGGTGAGTCTTTGTGGTGTTTTTCTTTTCCTTTCTCTCTGGATATGCAGCAGCCCCATGGCTGCAGAGGGTGCGTGTGTGTGTGCACATGTGTAAGACTGCTCCTGAGCTGGAAAATGGTCCATGGGCATGAGCTGAGGAGTGGCTGTTTCAAGCCAGCCATGGTGGCCTGAGCCCTCTGCTGTATCAGCTTCTGTAAAATTCTCACTGAGGTGATGCTGAGGGCAGCTGTAATTGTTGTTTTCCACTTCTACAAAATTGCAGCCTGATTCACCCATGGCTGTGGTGTTGAAGGAACTTGGTATCTATTTAAGAGAGAGGCATTTGCCCTGCTGGCATCCTTTGCCTGAGGGAAACTTGAGGAGTGAGCCCTCTTCAAGGTGTCTTCCCTTCTTTCCTCTGCTGTTCCCTTATCTCATGCTGATGTTGTTTCTTGTTTTCCTCTTTACCAGTCCAGGACCTCACTTAAAGAGCGTATGCAGCATGTACTTTGGCTACTTTGGTCCTGTAGGGCTTGGTGAGGAAACACTGGGGTATTTAATTGTACTCTATAAGAACATGTATATGCATATATATTTTCTTAAGTGGGAAAAAAGCAGCAGGCAGATAGGCCCTCATGYGATAGCTCATTTGAGTGGTTTCTTGCAAAAGAGGACTTGGGGCATAAACCTGTTGTCCTCAGCTTTATCTCTTATTGTTTTTAACCAAAAGTGGGCTAATCTTCCTCACAGACTGTGCTTTAGCCAAATATTAACTATAGCCTTGCTGCTGAGAAAAACACTGTAGTCTGTAGAAATCTGGGAATGTGACTTGCTACTATATGGGAAAGTAGGGTGCTTAAAGTTTGGMCCTTGGTATACACAATGAAAACATGCTCTTTATACCTCTATTCACTTTTAGAAGTGAAGACTAACAAATGCATCTCTAGATGAAAAAGCAAAACTTGAGATAATCCCATTCTTAAAATGCTCRTTCCTCCCCAGTGGGAGCCCCTATACTTTCTTTTTAGTAAAAAACAGTGTTCCAAGTTTCACAGAATTACATGGTCRGCTGCATGGCACTGAAAACTAGCAGTATGTTTTGGCAGCAAAACTTGAAACATTTTTCCCCAAAAGACTGTTTGATAGACCTTGTTTTGATTTTTGAAGTGTCAAGGAAAGTTGAATTACCTGGAATYTCAGATGAATGTTTGCTCAAAATCAAAATGATGATGAGTTACAATTGCCTTTAAAGACATTCAAATTTTTTGTTACAAAGGAGAGGAAGTCCAACACCGCTATTAAATGCACTGCTATTATGCAGCATCATTTCATATGGTACTGCARTATATCATTTGACTGTGAAAACTTCTCTGGAATAAGTGGATTTCTTGTATCAGTCATTCCAGCTGAACATAGTATTTTCTTTATGTTAGGTATTAACATTCTACAAAAGTAGTAAAGATAAAGTATTTACTAGATGGTTTGTATACTRGATTGTTTGTATAACTGAGCTTGCTTTTAAGTAGTTCTGGAAATAATTAAGTTTTGTGTTCGGGTTTTTTTCCCATTTTTTTATTTATTTTACTCTTCAGGGACCTATTTAAGAAAAAGGGAAGGAGGGAAGAAGTTCCCTTCAAGTGAGATGAGCATGGAAAATAATCAAAGTTTTCAGGAGTTGCAACAGGTTGTAATGTGCAGCCTTGTGGCTGTGCCTTGTCTGTTTATTTTTTTTAAAAAAAAGCCTAGTTCCATTGTGTAGTCACAGATATTTTGAAGAGGATTAAATGAATGTAGCTTCTGTATCTCTTGAAATGCAGGATGGAATAATCTGCAATAATTGTTCAGTTGTTTGGACCTATTCAGTGGGTTTACACAGTGGAGGAAGAAGGCAGACTACTTTATGTATATTCAGTCCAAGTGTTTGACACTCATAATAGTCCAGTAAGTGAAATGGTTTCCCTCTGTGTGTTTACTATGTCTAGTTACAAGCTTTTTGGAGCATCGAAGCCATTTTAAATGCCATCCACATATAGTGAATTGAGGTCAAACAAGTTGAGGTATAGTTTCAGGAAAAAAAAAATGCTATTCCCAGGTAGATGAGACAAGATAGGATGATAGCTTTGGGTGGAATGATGGTGCCCTTGAAATTTTTCAGGATTTTTTTTTTTTCACACTTTTGATACCCCTTAATTTCCTCCTTCTCTAATCTCTCTCCCCCCTCCCCCCACCCCCCCCCAAAATAAAACAACAAAAAACTGCACTGAGCAAGCTGCATTTAGCCAAGAGTTTAGGGTGCACCTACATTTTCTGTAAGCATCTATTTTATGCTGATTTCAGCAGGGCTAAAAGTTTCTTTTGGGGAGCTTGTATGGCTAAGTGTACTAATACTTGTAAAGCATGTAGGATAACTTGTATTCAAGACGTCTCGTGTATTTTTATTCAGGGCAGGCTTTTGTTTTATAAAACAATGYACAGTCACTCTTCAAGAGGGACTCAAGGAGGGATGTCCAATTTTGTACTGCCTTGCGAGTGCCACGAAAAAATATACTGCCTTTCTCCTGCGGAGCAGCCAGCAGCTGGAGCACCAGAGCAGTTGCCTCCTCCCCTGAAGATGTAAAGCTGATGAGCTATTTTATATGAAAAGTGTGTGTGTATATATATATGCGTGTATATATGCACACTCCTAATTGGTTCTGCTCTTCTTTCTCCCTGTTGCCAGCTCTGTGCTTACATATTTTTACAGTGTCTGTCTAGAACATTGCTTTGACACAATCCCCTTATGAGAGTATAGTGAAGAGTGAAATGGAAAGATAGGCTACACTTTCTGATTTCTTATAGTTGAATGTTTGTTAGGTAGGAATGTTTAAAGGCCTCAATCTCAGAAACAGAGAAGCAATAGTAAATTTGCTTTCTTACATATAATTTCATTGGATACTAATTTAATTCTTAAGTGCAAATATCACTAAAATGCTAGTTAATTTCAATATATTTGGTGAAATAGCAGGTGGATGGAAGCAAGGGGGGGAGGGGGTGGAAAAATCTCCTAAAAACCTTTGGCGTTTTTGCTGGTATTAGTATGCTAATAAAATGGCTAGATAAGAGTCCTAAATAGTAGGCAAATCCATCCCATGTCTGTGATTTCTCCTAGTCAATATAGTGGTGTTTATTGTTTAGTGTAATAGAAAAGTCTTGGGCCTCTTATGTAAGAGTTTGTATGTTTTTCTTTTTTAAGATTATTATTTTGGAGCTTTTCTTCAGTTATTTTAATGTCGTAYATATACTTACTTTCAATTTAATACTATATAGGTTTCAGTGGTACTTCCATCTGACTCAATGTTAGAACATTGTTGTCATAAAATGCCTTGGGTCTTAATGCTGTCCTTTTTTGGTCTTTAAGCTCTACAAAAGCATTTTCTTGGCAATGAATTGGACTTCAAGAAAGCTRAACTCACTATTTACCATTAAAACCTTTCCCCACTAGCACACTTGGCTTAATAGTTCTGTATAAAGAAAAAAGGCACTAAGAATATTTTTCGTAAAATACTGAATGATGTCGTAAATCATCAAGGAAAAAGGCAAAAGATTTTCCTTGAGTAACGCAAAAATATCAATTAAAGACAGTCTGTAGGCCATATAATACTGTATGTATTGTGTATGCCTGTATTTGGTCCCACAACRTCCTTTCACTGAAATTACCTTGCACTCAGAATTTATATAGTGAGGGATGAGCTGAAGGTACTGCAGAGAACCCTTTGAYAATATGCAATGAGTCTCGCTACTGCAAACCTTGTGTTCCAGCATATCTACCTCTTGAAAGAAATAGAATGCAAGTCCCCATCTTCAAGTTAGARAAGTGCTGTATGGTTAGCAATAGACTGGGGAGCATTTACAATTTGCCTTTCCGTGTGAGCCCTGAGGGTTTGAAGTTACTTARGCAGGGGTAACTTCAGAAGTCTTACTGCCTTCAACACTTTAAGGCAGGAATCATTTGCCTGAAGATATGCATGTTCTGTAGGGTCCTGTTGAATCAGAGTTACTCCTCTACTCTGGATAGAGATTTTCTTATTAACAATGCTCTGAACTGTGCCACTTCTTTAAGGTGTTTGTAATCTTCTGTATTGTGATTTGTTATGAGAGGAGAATGAAGGGAAGATACAAGACTTTTTATCTGTTTGTGCTAAGGCTCTTTCTGAATTGTTCTCTGAACAAGAATTAAAACTTTAAAAACAATGTTTTAAAACACTTTCTTATGTACACACTGCAGCTTCTTAGCACAAGTCATGTTTTGATGGTCTAGAACAGTGTAGCCCCTCACTTTTTCTCCAAGAGCTACTTATACTTTAAAAGGTGYCTTTAAAATCATAAAGATATTTTTCTATATCTGTGTATTTGAGAAAGAATAATTGTGCTACCTATTCTGGATATTGGGGAACTCCCCCAGTGTGGAATAGTGAATTAAATTTGCAGCTAGTCTGTTTCTTTGCAGAATGAGATGCTAAACTCGCTCTCTAAACTCATTTTAAAGAGTTACAAAATGAAAAGGCAGCCTGGTTAAGATGTTGGTTGTTTCAAAGCAATAATAGTATTTCTTATTTCTTATTTCTTATTTCTTCACCTGTTTCCCAATCATAAATTACTTACTGATTGATGGTTGATTGCCATTAGAATAAAAACAAAAAAATACCCAACAAATTTCTCACTAAATAAAAATATTATAGTAGACTTTAAAAAGAGACACTAACACAATCAGTTAAACGTAATTTTATAGCATTTATGTTAGTCATATAAGGTCATATATAGAGAGAAAGAAAAATGTGCCACCTCCTGTGTAAAATGCAGTAGTTGGAAACTAGCAAATTATTCTGTGAAATCTTGCATCCATTTGGGATTAAACAATTTTATTTTCCCCTACAAAGCATTCACATGTCTTCTGTCTGGCAGAATGTATGCATCGCTATACTGGGACTATTGTTCTAGCCCTGAAAGCAGTTCTGCTCTGGTCAAATGGATGAGCTTATTTCA